CTTGGTCCAGCTTCAACCCACAGCAATGCCATTCCCAACCTGCCCTCTGTGGCACAGTGGCGCTGCAAGGACTCTAAATCTGTAGGTAAATCCATAGGTTGAAACCCCTGAGCTATAGCTACCAACACCAAAGCTGCCAGATCTTCCCTGTGGTGGAAATGCTACTGAAGTGCCCCTACGCTGTAAGTAATCAAGGTTTTGTTGGAACCGTGGCTGAGAGCATTTAGCTCTCCCCATTGTCGCTGGCAGCTCGAGCATCCTGATGGAGCTCCCTGATGGGATAAACCCATTTAAATATTAAAAAGTGCCCTGAACATGTATAGTTTTGAATGATTCATTTAGGCTGCTGCCGGTGCTGTCAGTACAAGTGCTGCACAGCATGACTGGAAAGAAGCTGCAGAGGGTAAGAACATTAATTTCTTAAAAAAGCAAGTATTTTCTGTCTCCAGGGTCAGGTTTAGTAATAACAGGCTGGCCGCTACACAAGCAGAGGGTTTCCTTGCCGCGGAGCTCTGAGTGTATGGGTGACGCCAGAGCACAGAAGGGCAGCTAGGTAACTTTGTTCCCAGGCTAACCTGACTTCATTTGCTTGTACCCTGGCATTCAGGGGAGTTCATGCTGGGATTTGTAAACCACAGGTAATGTGAACTACTCTCCTGTCCCACAGCACTCCTGCTAGGAAGCTGCTTCTCCTTGAGAGAGTCTCCCTGCTTGAGGGTGAGGGGCTCAGTAAATGAGCTGCTGCATTCAGCGCTTCGCTGGGAGGCTTTTGGGAAAGGAAAATTGTGTTGGGTCCTCACGAAGTGCTGGTTACACGTGCTGATGTGTCTGTGCAGAGGCAGCGGAGAGGTCTGCAGGGGAGTTAGGAGCAGACTTTACCACAAGTCTGGCCTCCTACAACCTCTTTTCCTGCTCAAACCAGCTGACGGTCAAATTTGTCCAGTTTTTTTCAAGAAAGGCAAGGTTTGCAGGGAGGTGGTACGCACAAATATGTACTCACTTATTTTCATTTTACTTTCATTAGGTATGTGGAAAAAGCTGGTAAGCTTTTGAACTCGCTGTCCCTACGGCTGGTTGCTGAAAAGCTTGCCTGTTTTTTTCGACTACCATTTGGCTTAATAAAAGATATTGCCTCTCCGTACAAATCTTGTTTCTCTTGCGCAATATGGCTGCACAGATAATGGCAGTTGTTTATATCCTCACAAATTAATGTGACCATAATGGCTAGCTTGCAGACTTCAAAAGAGAAAGTAGGAATCGAAGTCATGGGAAGAATCAATTTTTATTACACTGCCTCTTTGCACCGAGAAAGCTCTGAAGGTTAGAGAAGTGCCACAGCAAACCTTCACCCATATGTAAATGTGAAATCCTGACACCACAAAAATCAGTGCCCGAGCAATTGTCCCTCCAAGAGCACTACAATCTGAGTCATATCCGAATTTCAGAAGCTGTCCCTGCTTTATCTGGCAACTCGGGCGGCCCCCAGAAGCACCACAGCAACTGAGGCTGGTGAGTGCGCCCGTAGCTGAAGTCAGGGCATCGCTCTTCAGCCAGAAAGCAGCAACGAGCCCAAGTCACTGCCCCTGGGAAGGGCAGAGTTAATTACACCATGCTAAATGTTCAGGTCTACAGAGCCCTTATTTTATTTTATATTCCCCCCCTTTTTTTAATCACTTAGATTTTTAAAAGACAAAAGGAAGGCACCATGTGAAAACATCACTATGGAAACATCACGGGCTCACTTGTACTTGCCTGCCAAGTGACTACCTAACTGAAGTTTTACATCCTATTGGATCACTGTTGGCCATCTGCTCTCCTTCAAACTTCTCTGAATTCCATATTTCCCTGAAAAGTTCATTTTTAGAAAGGAGGGAGGAGGAGGCAAAGGGAGAATCCAGCATTCTTGGCTGGCGCAGAGCTATTGTGAAAAAGCAAGATAAACTCACTTTGGGGCAGCCCCTTAAAAAGACAAAGATCCATGTCTTGCGAAGTAATTTCATAGAAAATACCCCATTTCTAGATGCACTGTAATGATAAGAGTATATATTGGCAGCCACAAGGCAAAACAAATAAACAGCTGCTTCTAGTACTCTCGCACTAATTGTCTTCCTCTCCCCTTCTCTCTTTTAGCGTCAAACGTATTTTCTTCTAAAATGTAACAGTTACGGCCTACGCTGGTGTTGTTGGCTGCAGGCTCCCCAGCCTTGCTCCAAATAAAACACAGAAATAGATTTCCTGCCAAGCGCCGGGGAAGTTTGAAGATTTTAGTTTTTAAAAGTATAATCTTTTTATCAGTGCCCTAAGCCTGTCAAAGGTAATTACGGGCCATGGCGCATTTACATTAATGCATAGGACCTACAGACATTTCAAAAGCTTAATGGAGAAACTCCATAAATGTACATATCGAGAAATAAATTAATTAAATTAAACTGTCACGTAAAGATATCACTTAATTTTGCAGAGCGGAAGGCACTCTTAATGGGAATGGAATGGATCAGTGAGCATTTCAAAACCCAAAGCTATAATTTAAATTCAGGCTCTCTGCTAGTGTGTAAGTCACAAGACATATTTATTATAGCCTTGGATTGTCAATTGTAATTGGTTTAGCAGAGACAAAGCCATGTTGTTTTGCTTCCTTGCCCTCCTAGCTGGTTCAATATACTTTGATGTCAGACTATTGACAAGCAAACCAAAGGCTGAAATAAAATCATGTTTACCTGTGATGAACTGACAAAAATGCAGTCCAAGGTAAATTTAACGCTGAAGGCTATGTATTTGTTTATCAAGCAGCAAAGGAAAAATGGTGATGTGAAGCATTTAAACTTCTTTGAATAAACCAGTTGAATATATTTACTGCTGCTCTTGAGGCCGGCTATGTGGCAACCAGACACAAATAGATAAAAGCAAGTAAAAGCACAGTGAAAATTAATAGCATCTCTTACGAGCTGCTGTTCTGAGTTTTCCACGTGGCAGTAACAATTAAAGGTGTTGCTCTTGACACTCATTTAGGGCTAGAGCCAAAGCCTGAGACCCAGGTCCCCAGCAAGCAGACAGCAACACTTCTTCCAGGCTGTGTAACCCATCAGCTCTTGATTCCTGGCGTGCCTCTGGCGTGGTTTGCTGCAGGGCTTGATCTAGTAGCAACAGGTACAAACCAAGCCTATGCTTCTGCAGCCACGAGCAACTGTCTCCTTCTTGCTAAGTAAGCGTTCCAAGAATGGTTCCATCCTTTAACATTCTTCTTTCTGTACTCTCCAATTCTCTTTCTTGTTAAGTTCATTTTCTGATCTGGAGCACTGAAAGTGGTCAGTTCGTCGGGTTATAACTGTCGTGGCTGCCTCCTGCCTTCTTCCAGCCCTTGTGTTGAGTTTAGCCATGGAGATGTTTCTCTGAGCCTGAACCTAGTCTTCTGCCCAGGATCTCCATAATTTCTTGTGAAGCACTCAAGTCTGTGAATCTGACTCTAAACAATGCTGACAAACTCAAAACTCATGGTTAGGAAGAGCTGCAGCACCTCAGACAGGGACAACCGCCCCAGGCACACCTCTGACAGCAGTGGCAAGTGGAGACCAACGGGACCAGCCTCCGTGGGCTCCTGCTGCCAGAGCTGCTGCTATTGTGGAGGGAGGACATGGCTGCATGCATGCATGTCAAGATACCATGCCATGGCTCTGAAGAGCAGCTTGTCTTCAAACGCAAGTTAATTTCTTTTTTTTATAAAAATACCTGTGTATATGCATTTGTTCTTACTCACGTAAGTAATAGGATTTTAAGGAGAATGGGCTACGTTTTTGCTTTCAGTGTAATCTTTGAGCAGTTTGTTCCCCAAGCTAATTATTGTACTGTAAAAGAAAAAAAACACCACCACCCCCCCACCCAAATGTGCCTCTTAATACTAGACTGGGGTTTTTTGCTCACACATGACACTAAATAGTAAACAGAAGCATCTTTTATAACCTTTCTGTAATACAATAGTTTTTACTTTACTATGCTATTCTTCTTTCATGCCCCTTTTCTAAGAAAGATGCACATTATTGCCCTTGATTATTCTTAAGAGAAACTTTTATTTTTGTCACCCTCTTCAGTCTCTCTTGGCTTTGAGTGGGACTTACTTAAACTGTTTTTTAAAAGTGACAGCTTATCACTGACTCCTGTTACAAAATATTTCTGTTCCCCTTTTAAGGATTGCAGAATTGGACACAGCTTTTAAAGTGTGTTTTGTCCTACTACCAGTAATCTTTCTACTTATTTACATTGCTCCTATTGTCACACTATCCAGATGCTAATAATATTCTTCTCTGAAAGAAGGCAGTGGGGAAGGAAAGCATTCTTAGCCCCTCTGCAGGAGAACAGGTGCCGAGAGATTTGGGTCCTGGTCCATAACAATATGGAGGCTCCAATTCCTACTGTCACTGATGTCACTGACAAGCCAGAAGTCTAACATCTTCCTTTAATTTGGACTTCAGTGACTTCTTCAAGGTATAAGAAAATTAGGGTCCAGCTGAGAACTGAATGTATGAATCTGTATAGATAAATACCTATCTTAAACACCATAACCACAGGTGTGACCGTTTCTTCCCAATAAAGCCATCACAGTCATTTAAAATGGTCTTTTCCCAAATAGCTTTTCCAGCTTAGCTGTCTGGTTCATGAGCCCTCATAGCTCTGAAGCTGATGAAATCTACCGACATAGTGGTAACTTCTTTTGTTTACGGAAAGGAACAGACTCAGAGTGCTGTAAGTAATGGTCAGGAGAACAGGACAGGTCACAGATGTCAGTTAAAAGGCTTAAGTTAAAGGGATACTATTTCTAAACTCTGAAAATAGCTATTATGGTAAAAACACTTCTTTCCTATATCACTTTGTAAATAAGTAAATACAGAAAATACAAATTCTAAGCTACTAGGAGCAATAGTGGCAAAGTAATGCTTTTAATGCTTTTTTAAAAACACTTTTGAAAGTATTTATTTGAAATATCTAAAAGATTTAATTGTATTCAGTTTTTATAGTCATAGAATTCTAACCACTTACATTAAAAAAAAAAAGTTAGGGCATTTCTCAAATTTCTGAATATCAGCTGAATAAACTACAAACAGTTTCATGCTTAAGAGAAGTATCCACTAAGAGATATATAATCAAGATTGAACTGTACTTCTTTGTATTCGTAATTCATTAGTGGAACTGTAAGGCCCTCTTCTGGATTATAAATTACTGCACGGCCAAGCAAAGTACATGGAAATGACAAAGCCAACCAACACTACAAAAAGGTAAGTATCTCAAAACATATTTTGTTCATACTATTACCAATTTAATTTCCTGGTGTTCATGTGTATCTGCCCGTCTCAGTTACTATAATTTAGTACCTGAGAACAACTACTTAGCAGATTCTTAATAATAAAGCATTTCTTATGCTAATATTCACCAGATGAGTGGACAGTCTAAAGAGAGTTGTGGAGAGTTTCTCCACAACTTTGTATGAAGATGCTGTGCAGCCAAGTGATGCTTGCTTACGCTTATTAAGCAACAGTATATACAAACTGAGACATGTGATTCTGCATATATACCTGTCTACATATGTATGTGACTTTCAGAAGATGTCTGAAAATTTGGCTTATGCTAGAGGGGGTGTAAAAAACAATTAATAACCATTACAATGATCTTATCTGAAGTCTTCAAGGGCTGTACAATTCCTTATATGCCTTTTGATTAAATATACACACAAGGACTGTGAAGGTCTTACAAGTGTAACTTTCCAAGAGATTTACTTACTTGCCTAAGCAAACATTTACTATTGGAAAACCAAGACGCTTCTCCACAGACAGAAGGAAAGAAAATATTCTAGAACGTGCTGTACAGAATGGCAGAATTTTAATGGATCCATCTGGCTGTAAACAACTGAACTTGAACCATAGATTTTCCTCTTTCTAAAAACAGCCACTTATTCTTCTGTTTGGTCATGTATGATAACAAGAAAACACATATGTAGAAACGCAGGAACAGGTAGCGAGTATCCTATTAGTAAAAACTCTGTACAGAACATTAGACATAGTTTAATTGGACTGTACATTTTAAAAAAGAAGGACGCTGAAGAAATCTTCATGTCTCATTTTTGGTAAGTTTCTGTCTCCCATCAGCATAGGGCTAATTACGATGGTCTTTCTTCCGTACTTTTGATTTTGGTGCTGCCAAGAAGAAACAGAAAGGGAGAAAAACCATCAGAAGTTAATTACAGTAATACCAGTGCCAGCATTCTTTTAAATCAGGTTGGGATTAAAATGGATCCATTAATGTGAAACCTACCATTGGGATTTTCTTGTCTGTAGAAAGCTTTTAACATTTCCACTGCTTCTTCGGCACGATAGCCAGAAATGCACTGTTCAAATTAGAATAGTGTTCATGAGCACATCTGAGAATAACGTATTCCATGCTTCACAAGAATGCCTGAAGTACAGAGTAAATGTAAACTGTACTGTCTGTTTAGGGGTCAGAAAATCTCCCTTTTCAGGTTGAATACCCAATACAGTTGAAAAATACTGTGTTAAGCCTTAGCAGAGTAAATGATTTCCCTAATAACTTAAAGTAAGGCAAAACAAACTTTCTTAGTAACTTTGGTAAAAGTTTTATGCAATCCCCAATTTCCTTCTTATTAATGTGTTTCCAACTTACTTCATATACCCCTCAAGCACTTGGAAATGTAAGAGACATACACCTAGGTATTTGTAGATAAGATTCCTACAAGAAAACATTGGTCCACACGCCTGTTCTTTATTCCTAACAGTCACCTCTCAGACCTTTTTGGTCCTTCTAAAATATTTTTCCAGGCCATGAACATAATGACAAAGCGTTTTAAGTGTCACTAACATGAAATGAATCTCCACCCACACTAGAAAATAATGCATCACACCTATACATCCCACTGCAGTTGCCTACAGAAACAAAAGGAAGGATTTGTAATAGCAAGAATCTTCCCCTTTCTTTCTTCTGAACATGTAGAAAAATTAAATACCACATGCCAATGTTAGTAAATGAACACTCTTCCAGTACTGACTATACAAATTAACTCAGACGCTAGTCTCAAACACCCTGAAAGAAAGATGCTTAATGTTTATACTGGACTGCCAAACAGTATTGTCTTGGTGACTGAAATTCTTTCTGAGCCTTGAGCCTTTAGTGCTTATTTACAACGCTGAAATATATGACTTGGTTTTTTACACTCATTAAATCATAAATGTTAAGTGTGGAAAAGAACTCTTAAGAACCCTAATCCGTATCCTTGTATAAGGCAGGATCGTCTACAACTACGTATAATGTAATAAATATAATGCTATAAATATTCTCTATCTATAGGTATGTATAGGTATACTAGTATAATGCTGTAAAGTATCTAGATTTATGTATACTATACCTCCACTGAATGTTTGTCCAGCCTTTCTTAAATGACAAAGATGCCTCATTCTCCCCAGACGCTCTGTTCCAGTCCTTCAGTATCCTTACTGTTCAGAAAGTTTCCCTATATCTAAGCTAAAATTCCTCTGCTACTTTTGCAGTCCGTATTTATTTTGGGATTTGAACTATATGAAGTAAGTCTAAGCTAATGCATTTTACCTCATATATGGATAGACTGGGAGCAAAAATACAATCATTTCCAGTTGCTCAGCTAAAATCCAGTAACTTAGTAAGCTGCTGTTACTTGATCTTTATTGATTATGTGTTTGTACATTCTGCAGTTTAAAATAATTTTTCCCTCATCTATTCCTACAGCATACACTTACTGTTCCAAGTATTACACATCTTCTAGATACATTTATTCCTTACCTTGGTCCACAAATGTAATTCTTTCCTTTCCCCTTTGATGCATCCTTTTAATTATTTTAAGACTGTCATCAGGCTTTTCGTCAATTTTCTTTTCTTTAAGGACTTAAATTTTTTTACATTATTTTCTTGTTAAGTCAGGTTTACTTGACTTTGATCATCTCTCATCTAAGTCCTCTTAAACTGATGCATAACATTCTCAAAGCATGGTAATGAAGCTAGGCACAGTACCCTAGCTAAAAAACAAGGGAAAATATTTTATAGCTTACTTCAAATGGTTCTCCTGTGTCTACCATATCATCAGACGAGATGCTCAAAACTGAGCCACAGCCTCCAAATCGCTCATTTCGACAGCCATATATGACCCGTGGAATTTATGTGAATGAGTTAAGGTATTAAGTTAAAAGTGAAAAGCAAGCAGGAAGTACAGTAGCCCGATTTAAGTAGTCATTAAATTTCACTAAAATGTGCTTGTACTTTTCAAAGTAAATTAGTTTGCACTACAATTCCTCCCTCATAAAATCAGAACTTACTTCTGAATAATGTAAGATGTATTGCTGAAGACGCACATCCAGCCTTCCTCAGAAAAGGAGAAGCATGAATCCCAAAGCAGAGGCATACAAAGCCATAGTTTACTGATTGTTATAACATTCAAAACTGAACACTGAACTAAGATTAGCTCATTTTACATAATAACAGATATCTCTAAAATGTATTTTTACATCCCTAAGAGAAATCATTGTTTGTCATAATTGCACCATTTCTCTTACATTCTTGAGGCTCTTACTATTTACCATCCAATAAATGGAGATGGGTGCAGAGTCTGAAACTGTAAGATGGTACCCTGTTGGCTTTGCCTTAAAGCATCAAGCCCTTCCCTGTGGGCTCACTGCCAAAAGAGTAACATTTTAACATATGGTTTCCCAGCATGAGTAAGCATGAAAGGATACTCATCAAGCGCACGGCAGCTGCACACATGATACAAGGCTCTACAGTTACGTACAATACCGAGTGTGCAAACACTTCTGTATAATCTCTGTTGTGTTGCTTGCACCAGTCAAGGACCTGATCAATTGCCACCATTTCTGCATGTCGAGTAGCCTAGGAGATAAAAATAAACATTTTCTTGAAGTTTGCATTGATTCACAGCTTTAAGCTTCTCATTTGTACAGATACAAATGAAGTAAGATGCAATATCAGAAAATTATTCTTTCAAGTCAAAGGCACGATGGCCCGACATCTTATTTATTAATAATGCAATTATTTTCACTTCTGTTAAAGAAGTAATGCAATGCTTTCTTGAGAAGTCTCTTTTTAGTACACTTCTTTGCTGGTTCAAGTTGCAAAAGAAATTTCATGCAGCCCAAACTGCAGAAGAAATACTCAGCCCAAGAAAGAACACATTCAACCTCCACCTCATATGCAGCACACACAAGATCTACAAGCACAAACCAGTTTTTTCTTCTACCTGTTCCCAGGCAGAGGAGTCTGCTCAGAAGTTCTCCTTTCTCTGTCATACCAGCATAGTAAGACAAGACATGAAAGCTCTACTTGAGGCTTAAGGGACACAAAAAGCTCACTAGAACAACTGATCTAGCCCACTGTGCTTCCAAGAGCAAGAATGCAGGCTGTGTTACTTTTGCTGGAAATATTAAGAAACTGCTCCTAGCTGGTACCTTTTCCTGCCGCTGACAATGTTACTGTGCCTGCATGGAATGAATACACTGTGCATCTCCAAAAGTTTCTGGAACTGCTTGGCCTACTGTGTAGACACAGTATTTCTGGTTTGCATCAGGTTTAATGCTGCCTGGGAATACATACATGTACAGTAAGTCCCTCAAGTAATAAGCAGGGATTGCAGTATATGCCTGATTAAAAAATAGACAGAAGAATATTGATTTCTCTTTTTTTAATCCAAGACAACTGAATGATGAGTATCTCAGAGGTCACAGCAATAGGTATAGCACAAACACCTGAACAGAAGAAGTGTTGACTTTAATTGTAGAGAGACAAAAACAATCAGTAATGTCCCAGTATCACTCTGGAATGTCTGCAGCGGTGTGTTTTGCCAATCAGATCACAGCAAAAATATCACAAACTACTAGTTATGAAAGCACTCTCCAGTTAAAGCCTGATGGTTATTTGAATTAAGGCTATTTGTTAGTATTTTCCTTCTTTTTAATCTATTCTGGAAAAAGGATGTTTTTGACAGAGGTAGAAGACTAAGACTTAATCAATCCAAATTATACTTGTACCTCTGCTACATAAGTCTTTATGTGACCTGAGATAACTTCCTCTCAATACATGAACTTGGGTTAATGTTTTAGCACTGTGAAGATCTGTGATGATAACTGTGAGAAGCTCTACAATATATGGCAAAAGACTCACGTATAAGTAACTTAGTGGTAAGTTTAATACTGTTTAAAAAAATGTTTTTAACTCCTACAGAGATCTACATTGCCTATGCCTACATTAGGAAATAGTACAGTGCAAGAGGAATGTATCTGTAGAGCAAAACAGTGCTGAGGAATCAACACCAGTTCAGGAGAGTTTACACTGGCCAAGCTCCAGTTTAGTCCCATGGATGGTATATTCCCAGCAACAGCTGGAGTGTATTAGGTATGCTCCCTGAGCGCATCTTTTCAGTATAGTTTCATCTGAAAGGAAGACAGTTTGACATCTCTGAGACACAAACCAAAGCACGGTAAGAAGACACAATCAAGAAATTTATCCCATGAGTGCACTTGTGATCTGAACTAACATACTAATGAACCCACTCAGAATAAAAACATGGATCTGAATCAATATGCAGACATGATTCCTCCAGACCTACTAGTGAAATGTTGCCATGAAGGTTCCGTAGCTGAATAAATGAGATCACCTCAGCTGAAGTCTCAGTGCACACACGTTATGGAGACACAAAGCACAATGCCCTCCAGCAGAATGATGCCTCAGAACTACTATAGCTACCGTAACTCAAAAGTGTAAGCTGTGGCTATTCTAGTTTTGTGCCCCTCAGATCAGAAGAGACATGAATACCATATTGGCTTTTCAACTCCTGAGCATGAACTGAAAGCATATAAGCAATAACTCTTCACTACCGGAGGAAAACATGCCTCTAACCTATGACACTGCTTTATACTGAGTACACCGAGTAGCTTTTAGGCCTCTGCTGATCTTGGAAGTAAGTACAAGTTAAGAAAAGCCATGCAGCTGCTGTAAGTCATACTGGCTTCTGTGGTAATAGAAGACAGCTACACAAAAGAGATTACACTAATATATAATATTACTCGATCCCAGTGCATCCCCATCTTAAGTAATACATGCTGGTTTGGTCATCTCGCCTCATGAAGACATGGGAACACCAGGACAAATTCACCACAGGGTGAGAAAGGATTATCCAAGTTACAGAACAGTACAGAGACCAACTAGACTACAGCTCTTAACTCACCAGATACAATCATTAGTTTTCCAAGTTAAGATGACTACAGTAGAGGTTTATAAAAATCAAGAAAAATGTGGAAAAGCAAACAGTAAATTGTGATTTATTATTTCTCATAACAAGTGGGTACCCAATGAAATTATCCTGCAGCAGATTTAAAACAAACAAAAGGAAGTACTCTTTCACAAAGCACATAATTAAATTGTGGAACTCATTGCCACAGGATGCTATGGAAGCCAAAACCATAAATGAGTTCAAAAAAGGTTTAGACAAATTCATGGAGGATATGTGCACAGACAGCTATCAGAAACAAAGGTCCAGATACAGTCTTGGGCTCTGGAAGTCCCTAAGCTATTCACTTTCAGAACTGGAAAGGATATGCAAGGGGAAGATTTATGCTACTCTCTTCCAGTTTCTTGAGCTCCTTCCTTAAGCACCTGCTAAAGATCCCTCTTAAAAGACATGATATGGGGGAAAAACTGACCTTTTAGGTCTGTCTTAAGATATTATTTTGTATTGAGTGATGACTAGATAGTCCTTTTTATTGACTCTCTGTGTGTAAAATTAAAGAGAAAAACAGATTATTTTCATTTTGAGTCACTGACTCAATTCATTAGCTTCTATAAACCCCTACTGTTTTTTTTTAAAAAACTTGCCCAATCTTATGCATTATTTTAAAGCCAAAAAAACAAAAGCAGGTCAGAGTAGCAAGGGAAAAAGAGAATTGTTAGAGAGTGGCAAATGGTGTTCCAAGGAGAAATTATTTGAAGCTGATGTCAGTGGGGAAAAAGCCTTGACAAAGCCTTAAAATAGTGCCCAAACTGTGGCAAATGTTTTATAGACAAATAAAGATATCATCACTGCCCTGAAAACCTTACCTTCTAAATCTTAGACTAGAACTAAGAAGTGAGAGTAAAAGGGGCCAAAGCTCAAAGTTCTATATTATCTTATGGCTTCATTAGTAATTTAAGAGTGCAAACAATACTTCAGTTATCGTGTATGGTACTTGCAAGGTGATCTGAGCAAAGACACATGCTACAGTGACCCAACAGGAGATAACAAAGACAAGTCTGTGTGTATCAACAAAGGACCTGAGTCAGAGAGCATTTTAGTGGGAAGCAAATGATTGCATCACACGTGGGAATAAACATGCCCAAAAATAGGGTTCTATTTGGGAAGGGTCACATATGTTATAAGGAAGAAAACTTTCAGGTTGGTCTGAGGCAAGACTGTAAACAAGCAAGTGTGGGAGATGCCAGAGGGAGCACAGTACTGGCACAAGCTTGTGAATGTATTGCCAGGCTGTTGAAAATGAGTGTCTTAGACATTTGTTGCACTATTGCCCAATGAATACAAATAATGACACGCCTAACTATTTTGAAATGCTGATGCCACAGCCATGCTCCTAAAAAAATAAACCAAACACAGCTGTATATAAACTCCCTTCTTCCAACAGCAACACTTTCCAGAAGAATGTGATGATGATCAATAATTTTGCAAATAACTTCCACAGAGTAAGCAGCAGTATCTCTGATGTTAATGTGTTCTGCTGTGGACATGCAGGGCAGAAACAAAGTATGCAGGGTGACAGGAAACAGACTGAAAAAATTGAAGAGCTTTCAGCAACTAAATCTTCTTGCCAAAATGAGCAGTTTAGGAACAGAAGGAAAGAGGGCATAAAGAAGACCCTACCTGCTCCTAACTCCAGTCAGTGAGATCAGAGGATGCAGCGACTTACTTAAGGAAAAGATGGAATTTATTTGACACAAAGCCTAGTGGCAAGTTGATTCCTGCAAGGGCAGAATTGTAAAGAAGGACTGCAGACCTAACTGGATAAACACAGCATTTTCTAAAAGCAGGAAGAAAGTTTTCATGGAGTAAAAAAAGCCAATATATTATAAAGCTACATTTTGGAGGTCAGAAAGCAAAGGCTAAAGGAAGAATCACCAAACGTCAACCTTGCAAAACAAATTACATAAAAAGTAAAAATACCTTGAGACAAAATGTGAAAAAGGAGTTTGAACTACTACAGTGACCTTGAGATGAGGCTCAAATATAATTATAGTACTACACCAAAAGAAAATCAGTATTTTGCCTTCTCAATAAAAATGACGCAGAAAACGTGGTCAAAAGGCAGAATAAGAGTATGAAAGCACAAATTACAGTGTATGAGATACAGAATTAGGACTTTAAAATTATGAAATTGCCTAGGGCATGGAAGAGAGATGAGAGGCAAAACCCCAAGTTGATAGATCATCTCCATCAGAAAAATACTAAAGAACTTGTGCATGAGGCTGCCAATCTCATAGCAATGCTTTTAATACATCAAGGGAGAGTATCATGTGACTGAAACCTGTCAGAGTGAACAGAGTCACTGGAATGAAAAATAGGAAGGACATACAATCCTGACATCTACAGATCCAGGATAGTCTCAACAGCAAAACAGGCAACATAACAAACTTTGAAGGTAATGTTATAAGGACTAGTCTGTAAAAGGAAAATGAAACAAAATACAATGTGGATTTACTAAGATAGTTGACTTTAAATTAACCTAGTAACTTTCTTTGACAAATGTTTCTTCTAGGCAAGAGAAATACCAATCTCATCTCTCTGGACTCCTACAATGCATCTGGCACAGTGCAACATGTGAAATTATTGTCATTCTGGGGAAAACTGCATAGCACAAGAAACGTTAAGATAAGCAACCAAAGAACAGAAGTTGCATTGCAAGGGGAAATATTTGTACAGAGGAAACTAATTAGCAAAGATGCTCAAAGATCATTTTGCTTAAATGTTTTCAGTTGTGACATTGGCATTAACTGGAGAAACACCTACAGAAAACAGCTAATAGTGTTATGTCTTCCATGTGATGGATTGGAGTGTCACTCAAGAGGTGGATGGCCTTATAGATGGGAGTAAAAAAAAAAAAAATTAAAAACAACAAATGAAAAATAACAAAACAGCATGAAAGACCAAGGAAGCTCCAGAAAAGATGGGTGGACTTACTTCAAGGGAGAATGGGAAGTATTACTGTTATCAAACTAGGCACAAGAGAAAGTCCATCTGGAATAAAGTATACAGTTCTGGTTAAGTGAATTCAAGAAAGATGAATCAAAGCTGCAGTGGATGTATACAAGAATTATTAGAATGAACACAGAGAGAAAGCCTATCTTCTGAGAGGAGATTAAACAGTTGGCTTGGGGAAAACAGGGAAAAATAAAAGCCAAAAGGGAATACGACTTTAATACATCCAAGCTATGTAAAATAATGGATGATGCTGGCACAAGAACAGAGAGATCTAAACGGACCATAAAAAGTTTAAAACTGGAAATCAGATGTTTTTTAGCCATCTGAGGAATGATGTTCTGGAAAAGTCCCCCAATATGAGGTGGGACGAGACATTAGTTTTAAAACAGACCTTGACAAATTTATGATGTCTACTGGAACTGTCTCAATGGTTCAATAGGGTTTTTTTCTCCCCAGGATTGTTCCTAAATAATGCCAGAAATCATTAGGAGAAAACTGAAAACAATTTCCTGCATTCACATTTCCCAGCAAGTGCCTCTTTCAAGCTTAGACTATATGGAGCAATTAAGTATCTGATACAAAATTCAGAAGCACCGAGTACCCAGCATTTCCAATCACTATAATACAAGCATTTATAAAAATTAAGCCACAAAAGAATTGAAACTTGAGCTAAAGAGAAATTGTAAAAAGGCTTGGCTTTCAAAGATATTAACAGTTTACTGTTTCCAAAAATGCAGACAAATTTTTAAAATCAGGCTACATGGGTTTAAGTACATACCTTCAGACAACCCCGATGTTAACACTAAAAAAGTCCGAAAGCTTCCCTAATATTTTTAAGTTGATTCTGGTTTTGTTATCAGTCTCATCAGTTGTGTTCTGCCTGTTTATTAATGCGTGATCTTTTACACAGCATTAATACCTCTGGCACAATTTTCCCAGGAAGCATCTGCTTCTCTGCAGTGTTTACACTGATTTAGCTTGAGATACCTAGCTTCTCCATCATCTGGCTTTCTTGAGTTGTATTAAAAGTATCTTAATACATTATGGATTGTCCCGTAGCACAAATTAGTATAATGATTCATCTTTGCTGTTGCACTTCTGAGCTTCAAAGACTCATTTTCACCTTTTATTATATTTTCAGATTTGAGACATCCAATAGAAATTACAGCCAGATCCTGCAGTCAGATTCACTTATACAAAACTTCTAGTTGTACAAAATCCCTGTTGGCTTTAATGGGTCTCTGTCATGGTTTAACCCCAGCCAGCAACTAAGCACCACGCAGCCTCCCTCCCCAAGATCTAATTTGCATGTATAAGATCTAATCTGATGGCTAACATTGCAAGCATCAGGTCTAAAATTTACAGGCAATAAGTTTTTGAAAGAACAATCCTGTCAAAGGAAGAATTTTTGTAAACTAGACATGAGATTTTGTTACCCTATATATTCTGCAACTCTCCACAACTTCCTGACTCCTTGTCTTCCCCGCTCTCTTCCCAAATGAGACTGGCAATTATTTATTCCTTTACTTGTACGGAACTTTTCCTAGAAAAGCAACACAGTTGGACTTCCAATTCATAGTTCGTTACTTTTCAGATAACCTCATCACAGCGCACGGAAGTGCCAGTTTGCCAGCAACGTAAACCGTTCGTGGAGCGTCTGCGGAGAGAATCTCAAGAGGAAGGCTGCACAGCTCACCGTTGATGCCCGGGTGCCTTTAAAGGCCCCCAGAGAGCACGCCGGTGGCCCGAACACCCGCCAGGGACGCCGGTCTCCAGCTCGCACCGTGACTGACTTCACGACCCGCCCCGCTTTCCTCTCTACCCCGTTCCCCCTGGCACCCGCCGGCTCCCTCTCCGCAGCCGGGCGCCGAGGTGACACTTGCCCCAAACTGCCCCTCATCTCCCCAAACCCCTCCCCTGACGGCCGGGACGGGTGAAACGGCCGAACCGC